AGGTCTAGCACTTTGCCTTGGGCGATGATGTCGCGGAAGACTGTGACGGGGGTCGGCTTAGGGCCGGTCTTTACTCCTTCCCCGGCGAGTTGTAGGCGCACTTTAACCATGTCTACGGGTTGGATCACAGTTGTTGCTGTCATGCCTGCGATGCCGCCGTTTACAAAGGGCAGTGCTGCGCGCATAAAGGGTGTGTGTAGGAAGTCGGCGGTGGCCTTCTTGGGGTTCTCGGCGGCTTTGGACATGGCGGAGGATGCGTCGCTTAGAACAGCTTCTGAAGATTGCTTTGCGTTCTCGAGAGCGCGTGCGGCGGGCATCTTAAGGGTTTGCGAAGTGGCGGCTGCTGTTGTCGACATTGCGTTGTCAGCGACAGCTTACGCAGTCTTGATATGTGAATAGATAATGCAGGAAAGGAAGATCTGTGGGGTATATCGCTGTCGCTATGCTGTACTGGAAATAGACCAAATGTGAAGAAGGACTGTAACTAAGAAAGTAAGAAAGCCCACAAAAGAGACTCCATGGCCGGGTCTATATCCCAGCAGCATGGCACTACGACGTGCGTCCGTGAGGTGTTGGCAGAGCCTCAGCCTGAGACGCAGTTCCCATGCGCCTTACACCGCGGCCGTGGACGTCGCAAGCTAGCCGGCTACAACCTAGATGTACAGCTTCGCTCGGCGCACAGGAAAGAATGTCATCGGACATGTGTGCATTTCCGAAGGCGCGCGCACGTGCGATAACCCTTCTCTTTCCGATTGCACCCGCGGCGATCGCATTGTGGATGCTCAAAGACGGTGAAGAGGAAGATGGGACGTTGGGTGCGTACCTCGTGCGCTGACGTCTGTGCGGAGGATCCAGTCCGCGTCGGAGAAGTGGGGTGTGGGTCGCGGGTTTAGTGGGTAGGGTGGTATGCGCTCAACTACCCGCTTCCTAGCATCAAACGACTATGCGACGATGCAACTTGGATTGAAGTAGCAGAGGAGATGGATTTATGGACGAGGCTGTGAGTGAAGAGGCTCGGAGGACAAAAGCAGCACGATGATCTGTTGTTCTTAGTTGTCAACAGGCCCAGCCAGTCGACCGGTGCCATGAACTGAGGGGTGGGCTGCGTTTCCCCGCATCGCAGAACTGCCCCAGCGAGCCACTGATATGAACTGCTGCTCGTCCTACCTGATGCCAATTGCTGTTGGGCCAATCGGGTTACGCTGATTTCTGGAACTCTGATGCCATTCTTACTTCACAGGCTTCCATGTCGAAGTTTAACGTGCACGGCGGAGCGGGACGAGCTGGGCGCATTGATGTCGCGTGTCCATGCCATCCGGTCTCCCTTGCACCGTTGAGGCTCTCATACCATTGCGCAATGTCTTGCTCGAGTAACACACGATCTTCAGGCACAGAGTATCCCGTTTCCAGTGCGCCACATGCGGAACCGCTTGCATGTGAGCGATGACGTTTGTTGCAACGGCAGCCTTCGGCCAATCGAACGATCGCAACTTCAACGCAGCGCATCCTGTCACATGTCATGAACAATACTGTGAGAGGGCCTGCTGCAGTACACCACGTTGTGGTTGCGGTACCCTGTTACTAGGCGCAGTGACCTCACTGTGCTTTTCCGGATGAGACAGCGGTTTCCGCGCGCACAACGTGCATCCGTGCGTCGTTCCAACCCGACGTGCGTGTACGCACATTGCTTTTCATTCGTTGGGTATTGATATATTGCCGTGTCGCAGATCGGAATGAACTGGCGAGATCGCTTTCTTTTGGGCGAGATCCAGGGTCCTCAGTGCTGGACGGGGCGGTGCTAAGGCCTTTCGCCCAGGTGCGCGGTTGAAGTTGCAACCACCAGTGACCCGAAGGTATCCGCGGCCGAAGACATTCTGAGTGACGACAGGCTGTGAACTACTTTGTGAGCGGAAGAATATTGTAGCGAAATGTCATGCAGGGCACCAGATCTAGGCCGATACAATGTCCGTGGGTGAATGGTAGGTCAGCTAGTTTTCGGCACAGGGTCGGGAATGTGGAGGCGCCCGGCCGGTCTGAACGCTTGCAGAAGAAACGAAAGGGTTGCGCAGGTACTGTTGAGAAGATTGATGCCTGACTATGGGACAGGTACTATGCCGCATAGATTGCGCGGCCTGTCTGTTGTCTCAACATATTCCGCTGAAATGCAACTACGTATTTGCACCTTTGGGTATCATTGAGCCCATCCGAAACCGAAACGCCACTCCCATCGTGCATAGGCTAAACCGACATCTCGCTATCGCTCGGAGATCCGAGGTCCTCGATAATGCTTGACTCTGGCGGCTGTTGAGTCCCCGGAACTTGCAGTCTCGAAGTCGATCCAGACAGATCGTCGCTCCCATCGACTTGTTGAGCCTCACGAGGAGCTTGCACCTCTTCGTCGGAGTCGTCACCTTCAAGTTCAGCTGCTAGCATGCGCTTGATTCTGCGAGCGATAATAGTGTCCTTGCGCACGTCGTCTTTGGTGAGCAACTAAGACGCAGTGTCAGCATAGGTCTCTGAGAATATTGACATGCAGGGGATAGACTTACCTGTGAGCAACCATTGACTGGGCACTCAATGGCTCTCTGACCGTCCACCCTGTGACCGCCCGATCGGATCATATCGAGAACGGCATTCTTCTCAAAGGTATGAGGACACTTTGTGCTTGTGTAGGGGTCCTTGAATTGCTGGTATGTGATGGGGCACCTCGTGCTGATGGTCGCTTTGTCTACTACGATGTCATCGTCGTCGTCGAGGTCGCCTCGGCGTGTGTCCGTAATGCCAGGCGCTGGCGACCCGGACTCATTGAACCAGGTGTCTTCATGACCAAGTGTGGGACCCTCATCGCCATACTTGGCATCGTGTACCGTGCGCTTGAACTCGCGGTAATCGTTGTTGCGTGCATAGCGCGCTGTGTAGGAGAGTGACGTGTAGGCATCCTTGTCGCGCTGCATACGATCCGCAAACAGCTCACTTGCGCCTGTGAGAGCTACGCGAGAGCCATCGAGGGGTGTAGGACCGGGCGTAGGTCTGTCGTCCATATCCTCGTCGTCACCCTCGTTTTGTGCCCGCTGGCTTGCTGCCTGAGTCTGGGTTTGCCTTTGTGTCTCCCGCTGTGTCATCTGCGTCCGATATTCGTCTGCCGACCGCCCGGGCGCAGTGTTTCTTAACCACTCCAGCGCTTCCTCGATGCGCTGCGCGGCGACACCCGAGTCGATGACAGCGCGCATGCTTTCTTCCAGCTTGGTGGTAGCCCCATCCACATTGGTCTGGAGCTCTGCCATGATACTTTCTTCTTCGTCTTTGTCGTCCAAACTCTTGCCCACGTCCCACTTCTTCTGCCGTCGCTCGATATACCCAGCATGATCGCGTAGCATGTCGTTGATGTTTGCCGCGGTACTGGTGACATGCTCGGTAGCCTGCTTATTGTGCCTCTTGATGTCATTAATATTGCGACCTTGTAGTTCCCTCAGGGCTCGCGTCGCTTCGGTATCGAGGGGATGCGATGGCTTCTTGTACGGTGGAAGGACGTCTGCGCTGCGGTTGCTACCGGCAGTTCGCGCTGGAGTGGAAACTCCAGACGGGCGACTAGCAGATGGCCTGGTGGTTCGGTGTCGAGAGGCCATGTTGTTCTGTTCAGTGCGATTATGCTATGTGAATGCGATGTGGTGCTGCCCAGGTGTCGCGTTGGGCAGAAATGGCGCCAGACACGTTGATGCGGGGAACGCGTCGGCATAATTACTTTGGGACTAGAGTGCTCGCCAGGTCACGTGCTGCAACTGGAGTGGCCGCAGGTATCACCGCCCTCTTGTCGCAAGGTCACAAATCGGGGTGTCAATCTCATAAAAACGAAGTCATCAATAGTCTACAGCTCTCAAATCCCGGATGTCGAACACGGGAAAGAATTTCGAGTCACGGTATTCAAGTCACGATCTGCCTCCCGGGTCTTCCTTCCACCTTATCCAATAAAACATCCGAACACCACAGAGCCTACCTAGGTACATCAAGATGAAAGCATGCAAAGCATGTGACCTGACGTGATTGTAAGCTCTACACCTGTTTAGTTGTTCCCTTGTATATGGTGCTTCCGCGATGTAGCTCTGCGGCACAGCGAACTATTCTCGGAAATTAACTGCACGAAGCGATCTCGTCACATACCCTGCACCATTACCGTTATTCTGATCCTGGGTCAGACCTACGGCAGTCATGCAGAGCCGGCAAATAGACTGGGTGCCCAGCCGGGCGCATACCACAGCACCGGGATAGTATGATCAGGGTCAGATCATCTCTGCATATACCACGCCTTTCCCAAGCCTTTCCCAAGCTTTCTCCAAGCTATTCCTGGGCATTTGCCCAAGCTTTCCCCAAGAAACTCCCAAGAAACATCCAAGCGATAGCCAAGTGACGGGCTATTCCTGGACGTTTGGCCAAGCGCCTGTGGTCAGATGGGCGGTCGCTGACTTGGCGTGGTCTCATAATAGGCCTTGGTATTGCCGGGCTCGAGACTCTCATTTCAGTATTCCCGGACTCGAAGCTCTTACCTTGAGTATGTCGAAGGGTAGAGATAAATATTGAGATCTTTGAAAAGGTGGTTATAGTTGTATTTGGGTACTATCAAAATCTACGGTCTACGTCTTGACTCCATCGACGCTGACCGATGCGTCCATTATCCATACGTCCAAAAAAGCGTGGTATCATAATATGTTGACAAGAAAATAATGACATCCAAAGTGCAAATACTCCGGCGTCCTAAGCAGCCATCAACCGCTTCCCAAGTGCTGTCGTTACCGTAATGTTCATGTACGCCCGAAAGATGCATGCCCTGCGTGCTATGATAAGCCGCATTAAGGATGCGGTATGCGTGCGCACGTTGCGACGGACAAGAGTTGTGAGGCGTCCTTTTCCAAACTCCGTTATCGTCTTTCGCGTCGACGGGTGCCTCGACCCGCGTGGCGGCGCTGGTGTTGCTTCCAGATATTCCATGATATGATTTCGGAGCTTCACCTCATCACGCTCGTGATGGTAGTTGTAGTTTGTGGCGCCTTGTTGGACAGAGGGAGGCCCTTCTCGATATCGCGCATTTTGTTGGCGTTCTTGCCCGGGGGCGGCGAGTTGAGTCTGATGCCTGTCCTTCGGTTTTCGCGGTTCTGCTTGCCGGCGTCGTTGTTCGCGCGGCCGGTAAAGCGACGAGACGCACGGCGAATGGATGCGCGAACGTCCCACTGGCGCTTCTTCGCGAGCCACCAGAGTACACCCGATGCGACTGTGTTGATGTTAGCTCGAGTATACTGGGACGTGATGTGCAGAACGTACTGGATCCGAGCACGACTAGGACGGCGACCACAATGATCGCTGCGATAGCACCTCCCGAGAGCGAGAAAGCACCCTTCTGTGTTCCCGCGGCGCCAGCATCGCTGGGGTCTTGCGGGTTGTCGCTACCGCCGTTGTAGCCGGGAGGAGGAAGCTCGCTGCCCGAGGAGGAGTCCTGAGCAAGGGCGAGCAGAGGGAGGAGGAACGAGAGGAGGAGGAGAGGCCTGCTCATGATGTCGATGTGCCGTGGAATGCGGCGTGGACGGGAGGATGGATCGGATATGAGGTGACACGAGGCTGGCGTGAAGGACGTTCGATCAACTGGAGGAATACCAACAACTCGCTACCAGAACGGAGGGCATGTCTCTATATTTGCGTGGCCACCTGCGAACATCTTTTATCCAAGCCAATACCTTCGCCATCACTCGTCCAATACCCCGCCAGTCTCAGGGCTTCTCGGCGGTTAGCATCGTGCGCTTGGACGGCAGACCAGGTTGGCTGCCGGAGAGTACATCAGGCCATTCTCTTAATATAGCGGCATTGGCGTCGAGATTTGTCGGCTTGGAAGGATAAGCCGAAAGGATTGGTAGGGCGTACTGGGTAGTGGGCGCGTAGCTGTGTAGACGAAGATCACCGTGCAGCCGAGCTAGCAAGGGGTAAAATGTGATTGGACGCACCCCGGTCTGAAGCGCCCGGCTAGCTATGTCGCCGCACACTTTCGTTTCAGGGGGGCCTGCAAGGCGACGACTCCCATCGTCCACCTCACGGCGTACATGTAGCAGCTGCCGCTTATTGTAGTCGGTGAGCCCGTGGTATGAAAGTATTTCTGGCTCCTCATCTCCGGTGCAGTCTACGTTAGCCACCTACGTTTCGGCGCAAAGTGGACCAGACGACGGAAAAAAAGTAATCACATGGCAGGCGACATGACCTTCTCTAATCTAGGGACGATTATCGTACGATGTTACCTGGGTATTCTGGTGAATGCGCGCTATCGGAGGGGTGCACCGCGATGATCAGTATGGTGCGCTGCATGAGGCGACTTTGGAGTAAGTAATTACCCCTCAAAGGTTTGCCTTCCAACCTTGGACTGTTCTTTGTCTACCGTCACGTGCCTGTGGCCGCGCGGGGTACAGAGCAGGAACATGCCGGATGGTGGTAATGGCAGCTGCAGAGCTTCATAGCAAGCTCAGTCAACTGCATGCAGACATCTATCGATCGAATGGCTGTGGGCAGACATGTATCCGACGCATGATCTGGAAGATGCGTCCGGACAGCATACTGCAGTGTGAAATATGTCCGTCTTGATGAGGTGCTTCACCGGTTCTATGTAGGTATGCGATGTGGGTGTTCTTCCTCTTTCCAACGCGCCTTCCACGATGTCTTTCTCAGTTGTCATGACCGAACGTGTGGCGTCGTTCTGTTCAGCCGTGACTCCCTCGCGCCGATGAAGGAAAGAACGAAGGCAGGACGCCGCTGCGAACCTCGTCGCCCCTCACTCTGTCCCATAACACTTCGTCTTCGTCTACTGGTGCAGTCGTCTAGCACGCCGCTTCTCATCTTCTGCCTGCGTTGTTCCTACTACGGTTTCCTTGCGTCCGAACGCGCCTGGCAATGCTGTCACTCACCATGGCCGAGTTGCCTCGACAAGGCAAGCAGGTGCCAAAGCGGCAGAAGCCTTCACGACTCAGACATGAAGTACGCCGCGAGTCAACCGATGACGAGCGAGATCGCAAGAAGCCTGTCCCCCAAGAACCTGACAGCGATGCAATTGTTCCTGAGACTCAGCCGAATCAGGACGGATACTACGTTCGTAATGACTTCACTCCCGAGCGTGAGCCGGACCTCAGCGACCTGCCTACTAGTCCCGGTACTGCAGAATTGTTGCAGCGCACTGCAGTAACGAAAAAGGCGGACACTCATACATCAACCTGGGTTCCATTTGCTCTCAGCACTCGCACCAAAGAAACACCCGGATTGAACAATAACTCTGGACCAGCAGATGTACCCACGTTCGCTTTCACACGTTCGCAACCGAGCCAAGTACCCAAGAAGGCATCCCCCAAGGACAAGGCCTTTACCGCCAGGTCTGTTCCTAATACTGAGTCGACAATATCTGGTGTTCACAAGCAGGTTGTGCATGCATCTCAGGGTGAGCAATGACGCCATTTCAACCGATCCGACTAACATGCGAGTAGATGCCAGGGTAGCAACAGAGCCTGCGTACGTCTCACCACCAATCTTCCCGGGCAACGACGATGGCCACAAGACAAATCCTGCTACCGATCAGGAAGTACCTCTCTTCCAACAGCCGGCCGCCAAAGAGTCACAGAACGAGTCTGCATATCCTTTGTAAGAGCTCATAGCAAGCGCCCAGAATTCCACTGACTTACGTAGACCTACCCAACCGGACACGCCGTCCAAAATGCCTCCTTCCGCACAGCCCGACGCAAGGCCGGCTCCTGGAGCTAGTAAGGCCCGTGTTGTCAAGAAGAGCAACAAAGGGAGAAAAGGACAGCTCTCTCAGCAGCGTGAAGGCCAACGACCTCCTCGATCAAACGTTCTGGCACGGCATGCTCAACAGGCCATGACGACGGGCAAACCAGTCGCCGAGACATCGAACAACCCCCTTGCTACCGACGACGCAACAGTCCATACATCGCAATCTCATACAGTGCAAGCACCTGCCCCTATCAATGACCTCAATGGGCATGCATACGTTGAGGAGTCTCCGCTGGTGAAAGAGCATGAGTGTGTCGCCCACGTTGAGGAGTCCTGCAACACCACTCAGACCATTCCGGACACGACTTTCCAAGAATTTCCAGAGTCTTCCGCTCAGCGCGAGTTCCCCACGTCCTCTATGTTTGTGACTTCGACTTTGCCTCCGAAAGTGGACGATACGAAGCGCGAGCAACAGCCGCTCGCAGATGTTCACTATCAGGATCGCGGGCTGGCATCCGCCGAAGAACGTACTCCACTGCCGGCTCAGGACTCTGGTCGTCATATCCCAGAAAATCACGAGTCGGTTGCTATAGCCACCCAGTCCAATCAACCCCAGCTGCCCGAAGTATCTGCAAGCAGTCAACAGTCTGCCCCACTGCCGAAGGATTCTGAAGCTATTCTACATCGCATCTCCCACCAAGACGCATCTCACCGTGTGGCTAAACCACGACGAAAGCTACGGGCCAGTGGACCAGTCTCGAACAACCCTCAGGAGCAGGCCATCTCTTCCAGTCTTGACCAAGCAATTGAGAGCGTGAGAGTGGCGATGCTGGCTGACAAATTCCGAGCCAAGCATGAAAGCATGATTATCGCGAAGCAGCGCGAGGTAGAAATTGCCGGGCTTCAGGGCACGATCAACGACCATGTCCAGACTATTGCAGAGCGTGATGAGAGCATTCGAAGCTTGAAAGAAGCTTTCAGTCAACTCACCGACAAGGCCAAAACCAACCAGAAGTTTGTGCATGGCCTTCAGCAGGACTACGAGAAGCTGCAGAAGTCCGCTACGAGCTTCCAAAAGCAGAGCCAGATGACACTGACAGAGAAGATCACCGAACTTGAAGATGAAAAGAAGACGTTGTACCGCGAATGCGAGACTGCAGTTGACAAGCTTACTGCAACTCAACAGAAGATGAAGTCCACGCTCGACGATATCTACGGGCGGTTCATCATATCAGAGTCAAAGAGGAGAGATCTTATCGAAAATCTGGGCAAGCGGGACGCCGAAATCGGAGATGAGCGGAGAAAACGCGACGACATGGAAAAGCAGCTCCTGTCAATCGTTCAGAGTATTCCCGGTAAGATTGTCGATGCTTCTGATACTCTGGCCAAGAAGTTGGAATCACTCCAGACTTCGATTGAGCAGGCGCCTGCCCATGACAATCGAGATGACCCGATCGAAGAATGTCTGGACGCTTTGCGAACCCTGCAGATGTCGCCAGCCTTGACAGCTAAGGACATCGAGAAGATGGAAAGCACGTTGCGTCTTGTGCACGAACGGCAAGTCATGATCCTTTCTTATTGTGCATCTTCGATGTGCTGACTAGTTACACAGTTTAGACTCAGGTCTTGATACCCTTTCCGAAACCATAAGGAGTGAACCAACCCCTGACACGGAACTCCGGACTTTTATCGGAGAGCGACTGAACAGCCTTCAGGAAGCGATGCTGAGACACGATAAGGCTACTACGGAGAACCGCAAAACGCAGGAGCTAAACGTTTCTCTTAAGGTGAGGCTCGAGGAGCAGCAGCAACATTCCCGTCAACTCAACGAGCAAATCAAGGAGCTCCAACAGTCCGAGGCCAATCTTCGGGCCCAATCCGATCAGCTGGAACGGGATCTGAATGAACTGAGAGTTTCTCCCCCCGTCCCACACGTCGACACGGAGAAGCTCGAGCGAGAAGCTGTTGACCTTCGCCAACAGTTGAAGAAGGTCGAGGGTGACCTGAAAGCTGCCAATAACAAGGTCGAGACGATTGAGCAGGAAAGAGATACCTATAAGGTGAGCGGCGTCAATCTCATGTCTACTGCGGTTTTTTGACGAATGACAGAGCAAATCCGAGGATGTCAAGACGCAGCTACTGGAACTGCAGCAGGAGCATAGGGTAGGAAGCATCATCTCGTCTCATGGCCTCACTAATTCTGTTAATAGGTTGAAGACAAGGTCGCAGTGCGAGAGGAGATCTTCAAAGACTGCGAGAGTAGATTCATCGAGAAAGAACGCAGCTTGAAGAGCGAAATTGATCGACTCACGACTGAGCGCGACGAGAAAGAAAACGCACATCAAGAAGTGGGCACCAATTTGGACGCCGCGTATACCCAGATCGATGAGCTGGAGGACAAGATCCGCACACTTGAATCGAAGGCGTTGGAAACGACAAACATCCAAGAGCAACTAAGACAGACGACCGAAGAGCTTCACACCAAGAGTAGAGGCCATACTGAGTTGAGCCGCCGTTGCGAGGAGAACGTCGAGAAGATCTCTGAGCTGCAAGGTCTGCTCGATAAATCACAAGCCCAAGCAGTCGAACAACGTACGACGATGCAAACTATGCGCGAAGAGGCCGATACTACACTTGGCAAAGCACAACAAGATGCAAGCAACACGCTCCAACTTTTACACAATCAGATTTCTAAACTTCAAGAGGAAAAGAAGGATGTGTCGTCCAAAGTTCAGCAAGCCCGGACCAATGAGGGCAAACTGCGACAAGACATAGCCGAACTACGCGCTGCAA